GTCAAGGAGTCGATGCAATTAACTAGTTTTCCTCAGATAGAAAACTTGAGGTGTCTCCTAATTTTTTATTAAGACGTTCTTTGTGGCTTTTCTTACAGTTAATTTTGAAAAAGTTTCAGTTTGATTACAAACAAATAAGAAACTCACAGTTATGATGATGGTTCCAGGAGAAAAATATTCCTTTTTCTGGTTTACCTTTAAAAAATTGTAATTGCTTCTGAGACCTGCTTGGCTAAAAATCCTTCTTTCCTATTTGGATTTTGGGCTGAACGTCAGGAAGTGGTCTTAACCATGCCTAGATGCCTAAATGTACTGAATTACTGCTTTGTGATTGGCTGATTTACTATTTCTGTTAACAAGACATAAACACTAATTATAATCTCAAGACTGTTACTACACTCAAAAGGCCTCCGTAATTTTGTCATTTTACTACACTGGTAATATATCTAATATACAGCCAAGCAGAACAATCTGACATTAATGTTAAATGAAGTTGCTTTATGTCCACAACTTGTTTTAAACAAATTTGACCAAATATATATAAAAGCTGTAACATAAATACAGTGAATACTATGGTAAATAAAAACTGGAATATTGGAATAATGATAAAAAAGCTAAAATTAGGACAACTGCCAAATAAGAGACCTGATGGGATTGAAAAGGAACTTAATTCAAAATTGTGTAAAAAAAGTGAGTTTTCTATGTGCTTTCAGCCTTAAGCCCTGTGAGTTTCAAAATAAAGATACATCTTAAAGATGACTAGTTGAATAGTATAGAATTCAACTTTATTGTTATTACACTGGCAAAAGTACAAAGCAACGAAATTCACTCTCTGCATTTAACCAATCCCCTTGGGGAGCAGTGGGCTGCCATTGTGTGGCGACAGGGGAGCAGTGTGAGGTTAAGGGTCTTGCTCATAGAGAGCCAGAGTGGCATTCTGTGTGGGGCTCGAACTCAGAACCTCAGCATTTCCAAGCGCAATGTCCTAACCAATTGGCCGCCACTCTCCCCTCCAAAATCATGTTTCAAAATATGTAGCCGCTGACACATGACCCACAGCATCACTACAGTAAAACCATTCCTGTCTTAAGCTGAAATATATATATTTTCCCCTTTTCCAACACCAGCTATAGTTATATTCAAAGCTAATAGTTGTGAGGGCTGGTTGGGTTTGGACTTAAAGTCTGCATGCAAATCATGTGAATGTTTCTTGTATCTATATTATATGGTAATAAAAGTTTAATAAGAGTTGTATTATCTGCTTATCATATTTCATGACATGTCCTGATCCATAAATAAAAAGATAATCATGGAAGGATGAACAAAAAGCACATTCAAACATTGACCCTACAGAAGCAGATGGGAGTCCAAATAAAGAACTGAGTTGTATTTGGAAGCATTAGAAATGGAGCTTGGCACTCACACCAAGGAGCAGCTGAAGCAACTCAGCATCATTCTTTGATTGCTCATAGACATAACCGTCCTGTAAAATATAACAACTACAACAAACAGCCTCTACAGGGCAAGAATCTCGCTCTACATATAACCAAAGAGCAGCTTGGATATGTTGTACTTAATTGAAACCATTTTGTTATTTTTTTATTCAGCTTACCAAATTAGCGTTGGTGTTATTACTGTCTTCTTCAGGCATGGGCAGGAACACAGCCAGAGCAATACAGTTGGCAAAGATGGTCAACAGAATGATTATTTCAAAGGTTCTGGATGATGAAGGCTTAGGATCATAACATGAATCACTGTCTCCTGTGTCATATGGGGAATAACTCAATAACAAAGTGACTCTATTGTGTTAAAGGTAACTCTCTTTTGAGTAATAGATACACTAATTTGATCTTAGTTATATATGTATAGAGCATTACAAGACATATCATTTGTATGAGCTGGAGTGATCTCTGGTTTTAAAACCTCTCTGGCATAGCTGTTGAACTGAATGCAATCATGTCTACTGTGCTGCCTAATTCCCATCCATAGGGGGCTCTCCAAGAAAATTCCCCTGCCAGCTCAGCATCATGTCTCTCTGTGATGTTGAGGGACAGCTGCAGAGCCCAAGAATATGACAGGCCATTTAAACCAGGCCTGCTCGTCAGGGGAAAAATACCTTTGCTCACACTGTAAGAAGTTTTCTTTACAAATGCACGTATAGCGACTCATTTTTAACTGCTAGATGATCATTTTCAGCCATTCATCTTATTTTGAACTGTTTGTTTGGATGTATTACATTCACCAGCAAGCAGCACACCTAAATAATGCATGTAACCAACTAATCTTAGAATATTTACATGTTATGAACTACAGGAAAATTCAATAAATTTGTTTTCCGTCCACTGTAGCATTTCAGATTGAAAAAAACCTTTTGTAATGTACCATTTTTTGTGTGTTGGTCGTGTACAGTACTTTAAACTTAAAGTTGTTTTTATTTGCTGCAAAGGCAAATTTTGCCAATACGGAATTAAAGGTTAAAAAAAGTTTATGATTAAAGTTAAATGCAGACAAGGGTTTTTAACTCATCTCCCCTTAAGTTAATGGACTGGTTTTGGTTCACAAATCTCAACAGAGTGACTGTAGTCTAGAAATGTTTTCCAAATAAACCAGCAGAATGTGGGGTAGTCAGGTCATTAAATGGGTAGTTGATAAATTTCATTTGATTGATGGGAATCAAGCAGCTTCAGTTGAAAGATTAGAGTTATACAAACACTGAGCCAGCCACAAGCATTACAGAAATGTTCATAATTAAAATGATCACCTGTTTCCAGATTTAAAAATAACGTCATTCAGTTCCCTGCCAGGGTTAAAATAACTCCATGATATAATGAATAGGTTAGATGCTGTGTATTCAGAAGAAGTGTATGCAGAATGTGCCTGTTAAAGTTAAGACAAAAGGATACTTCCACTCCACGATGTTGATGCAGGCCTTTCGGAAAGGGTTTTTCAGGGTGAAGAGGAACAGAGATCTGGCAGGACGAGGGTTGCCCCCTGTGGCCTGAAGCCTTTTCAGCTTCTCCCTCTGCTTCTTCTTCAGTTCCTCTTCATTCATGATGACTGGCTTGGCTGCATCCGCGTTGGTCGCCATCCTGATGCCTTCACCTTACACGGCCTTTCCACGAAATTTACTAAACAATTAATTAAATCCCAGATTGTGGCACAGTGTAGATCTTCCTCTGTGAAGGCCTCCAGGCTCCAGAGCAACCTATCTTGTTTGCGGGTAACCCCCGCCGCCCTCTCCTGTAGCTCCCCTCCTTCTCCCTTGGTCAGACCCACGGACCTCTCCTCCTGACCTGAGACCTCTGAAAGAAAAATCTCACCTCAGTAGAGACATTTAAAAGAGGCTCTGAGACTGGAGGAGCAGTTGCCTCTGCGTCAGTTTAAATTTAGACTGTGAAATACTGGCAAACCATGCTTGGGGATGATTGGGAGGGCAGAAGGGGAAAATGGTGGTAGAAGGGGCAGGGCAACTGTGAATGATGTGAGAAAGAGATATACAAAGTGGAGAGGCACCTGCAGCTGAGGATGCACCTTAAACTGTAAAAAATAATAATAAAAAAGAAAGTAGCCAGAAAATGTGCAAAGAAACAGAGTACTTTTAATGATAGTGCATTATTCTGCAGGGTGGAAAAAACTTAAAAAAAACTTTTTGCAACATGTTTGAAATTCTTTTGGGGTAAAAAATTTCTCTCACTGTAAAATATGCAGAAAATCCTTTATGTTAAGAACTTGGGCAGGGATTGGAAAGCTAACTACAGTCCCTGCAAGAATGTTAGTATATTATCAATATTTTGGCAGATTTAATGGATAAACCCAAAGCAATGCAAATGTACAAAATCAAATGGAAATAGTTGCGTCACCGTTTAATAAAAAGAAAATGTAATACAGCATGCAGTACATAATGCACTATGTTTATACTGGAGCTACAACTGTTTTGGAAAGTATGTCTCAGCAAGCTTTGAAAAACTTCATGTTAAAACCTTTACCGGTTCTTTGAAAAAAATCTTAAGCTCTGTCTAAAATTAGAGCATTTGTAAACAGCACTTTAATCCGTGTCACAAACTCCCAATGAGACTTATTTTTAGAATTTTACTGAGCCGTTCTTTAAATAAATATACTTCAAACTGAACACTGTATTACTAAGGTATGGATCTGGCTTCATGTTTGGAATAATGCCTTGCTTGAATAACCCAGTCTCTAGAGTTTTTAAAGCCTATAACATCCATCTTCCAATTATTTCCTCAGGCTTCTCTCTTCATGCTGAATAAAATGGTAGCAACCATCCTCACTTAATGACTATGCCACCATCATGCATTAATCACCATCAATTCTGGATCCTTTAAAATACAGATGTCAGAATCCAGTTTTCAAGAGTTGGTGTTCTGCAACCTTTAAATGACTCTCTGCTTTAATACACATAAATCATTTTATTAGATCCTTTGCAGTATTCTGGAAAACCTTTCCTCAACTGAGGATGTTGGACGAGGTAGTTATCTAAAAGTTACAGGATAAGAGAAAGCTATAAAAGCATCACTTAAAAATGTATTATAAATGTGTTAAAAATCCATCCGTCATCGTCTCCTGCTTATTCCGTCATGGTGGGGCCGGTGCCTATCTCCAGCAGTCTATGGGTGCAACAGTCGTCGCAGGGCAGGGAATATCCAATTATGAATACTTTTTTATTTTATTTTTTATTAAAAAATACAAAATGTAAAAAAGTATCAAACTATCTGGTTCAAATTTTTTTTCATTCAGGAAACTATAACGGTCTTAAAATCATAATTAAATTAAATCCAAATTTTCTAAATCCGGTGAGTTAGTTAAATATAATATAAAATGACCGACTTTAAAAATAAGATTAAATTTGATAAATGAATTTGATCTAACACGAAGCTCACTTGTTTGCTGCTGTCGCCCCCTACTGCCCGTAAATGTGAACCAAGAAGTGAAATAAATGAAAATCTGAGAATCAGGCTTTTTTTCTTCTTCTTTTATTTAAGTCAAAGCTGCTTAAAGTTAAGAGACAGTGAGAGCAATCAACGCAAAAGAGAATAGACATAAAAGTATAGACAGGTGACAAAATCTAGAGAAAAATACAACAGACCAACATGAGATGTACGTTCTACCACCATATGTCACAAAAACAACTTTAATGAATTTATCTTTTCATTATTTTGTAGAGCTTAACGGAAATATAGGAAGGAATATATTAGCATTTGCCATAAGAGTACAACAGAATTTGACAGCAGTAATCCTAAGTTAGATGTCTTTTTCCAAGTACTAAAATATCATAACTTCTTCTGCTCATAAATAAAAAGCAATAACACCCGTATGAGATGATAGTGAATTCAACTCCATTTCAAGTAATTAATGAAAACGAAACAAGAAAGTACAAAACACCAGCAGGTCACACTATGCAAAATCAAATGAGAAAACCTGGCATTCATTTATGTGTGAATTGCTTGAAAACTTGAGAGGAACCTGAAAACACTATGCAAGAAGTCCAGTCTTTATTCACCACAGCACTAATTCACCATTAGTGATGAACATTTTTCATTTATTCATTAAACTAAAATATGGTCCATCAATGTTATTTCGAGGAATACCTTAAAATGTGCTCACCCAAAACTCCTGTGGTCCCAATGGACCACAGGAGTTTTTTCCTTGACATGCAGAGGCGGTCTGAAATGGAATGGGCAGGAACAGGTAGGAGAGGAGGAGGTGGAATCACAGGGTAAGCAGACCCATCCATCCTTCTATCTATTTCACTGGAAAGAGCTTCTGTTCTGAATCAAACAGTTTCGTTTTAACAACCAGTAGGCATGGTAAGGTGTGGTTCTTAAAATTTGTTTTAACATTTTTTGTTTTTCTTTTTATTTACTTTTCTCATTAAAAAAAAAACATTAAAAAGCTGATTGGCATTTCCATATATTAAGTGCTCTTAAGAATAATTTCTTTTCCCTTTTTGGATCTAAAATTTCTTCAAGCTTTATGATATTTACTATTTGAAGGAATGGCAACATTGCAGAAGAATGAATTCATAACTGTAAAGCTACTAATTATAAGTAGTAGAGGTTCACTTGGCTGACAGGAATCTATATTATATTAAAAAAGTGGTTCATTGTGAACATTTTAAAACAAATCATCTTGTTGGTTTGATGAAATCGTGCCAAACAGTAAATGAATAAACCAGAACATATGGATTATTTGGTAATTGAGCATTGTTATCAAAACAAACCTCAATGTGTTTTTTTTCTTTAAAGCTCATGAAACTAGAGATCCACAACAGTCTTTCTTTTTAAAATAACAAAAGGGAAAGCACCTAAAAGCAATAGTGGAAAAAAAAATTAAATAATTTAATAAATTATCTCATCCTTTAAAGCAGCTTAAAATAACTGTTAATATATTTATGAATGTGCAAATATTTTTTTTCTTTTCACTAAGTTCACATTAAATGATGATAAGAGAAATACAATGTTAAAAATGCTCTGCTTGTTAGATCAGTGTCTAAAGCCTTTAAGTTATACAGGCCTTGCATTTCACATGAAAGCTGAGGTTGAAACAGTGCAGCTGATGAGGGTGTAATAATACGAGTCCTGGGTGTTTTTGTTTTTCACTCTGAAGATGTTGACATTCAGTTGTGAGGTTTAACTCAGCAGCTTATGGCGATCAAAAACAGTCTTGCGCTGTTCCTGCACCTGCTTCTTCCAGCGTTGCTGTGCACCCTCAACTCGCTCCAACACTGTGTTTCCTCTGGCCAGCCCAGTGTCTGGACGAGGACGCATTTCCTGAAAACACAAAGGAAAGACACCTTAAAGACAAGCAGCAGCCAAAAACCCAAAACTTCCATCTCCCCTGAATTGCAGCCTTCTTTTACATAAGTCCTACTTGTTACCTCAGAGTCTTCCTCGTTGTGCAGAGGTTGGATGTAGGGGTCGTGTTTGCGGATAAGAGGATCCACAAGCAGCAGAAACAGCATATAGAGAAGCAGAGCCCCGACAACAGACAGGTACATGATGATGGTCACCTGGGGAATGTTGTTAGAACTTTGTTAGCCTAAACAAACTTTGTATGGAAATACATTTATCACATACTATGATTTTTTCTTTAACACAACACAAACCTATTCCTGTTATTTTAACAAAGCTTTAAGATGTACAAAATAAGCATTCCACTGATGATTTTTCAGATAGATGAATAAAACAGGAACCTGAATAATTACACTTGGTACCTTTATAGTGTTGCTGCTTCGCTCTTCATACTTGCACTCACACAACAGACAGTAAGCTTCCACATCATGGCCAGGAACTGGCATGGGATCAACCACATGGAGGCAGTTGCTGGAAATGATTGAAATTATGTTTTCATATTAAAAATCTGACAATGGTAACAAATTCAAACAATATTTATTTATACATAAATTCTACAAGTGCCAGTGAAATCAATCTTGAAGGCCAATATGAGAGCCACCTCTTGAGCTGGTGTTTCAGGGGCTCTAGTAGGGAACCTAACTTCAGATTCATTCAAATAAGACTACAGATCAGCACTGCAACAACAACATAGAGACACTGCTGGTTATAGTAATTCATATAGACAATAAATTGTGAAAGCTGGAGTCTAAAGCTTGAGTCCACTGGTAGGGTGAAAAAGGCAGCTATGAAAAAAAAAAAATTAATAAAACAACTATTTCTCTTTTTACTTTAACCTAGTACATAACTTTAAATAATTGTGTACTAGGTTATAAAAAAAAAATCAACAACTAAAAACCAAATAGCCTCTTTAAGAGGGAAACAATAATAAAAAAAAATAAAAGCTGTTATTACCAAATTCAAATATGGGAAATATTGAACTAATACAATGCTAAAGCATCATTAATTCCCTTCTCCAGTCCGTTCTGGCACACACCAGCGGGTTAAAGGGAATCTGATTCAATATAGGTAAAGATAAGATATTCTTGTAGGGCTCTTCAGATAATTGCTCATTCATATTGTTTAGCAAAAGCTGTTTGTTTTTTTTAATCATTATTATTATACAAGATTAAAAGAATCCAGTTAATAAAGACAATAACAACTGGAGCAACAGGGACTCTAATAAAGATGCACATATCCCTATTATTGAGAAAATAAAAGACCAGAGAGAATATAGTCTGGGAGGCTGACATGAGGCCAACAGCAACACTGGAAGAGCAGCATTAATTTCTGACTGTTAATGGTAATGCTTTACACATGACAACAACCTGCTGTGTTCTCTGTATATGAATTAACTAAAGAGTGGGACTAAAAAACTAAAATCTGTCGAAGGCTCATGGAAGATTGGGTTGTTTTAATGAAAAAAAATCTTCAATTTGATGGTCAAAATTTTAAGATGACAATTTAGCAAAATAAACCCAAACATTACTATTATACATTATGTCCAGTGAGACACGGTGGTGGCAGTGGCATGCTGTGGTGTTACAATTCTTTATTAGATAGAAATAAAGGAAATAAGCATGAAAAAAAGGATAATATGCTGCCTTCTCAAAAATTATTTAAACAAATCCCAGTTAGGATTGTCGAGAATAATTCTAACTATGATTGATAATTAATAAGATATGTGGGATGGAACTTTTCTTCCTGCCATAAAATGATTCTCTAAAGTTTCTTAATCTAACTCAGATAATGTCAAGAAATATCAAAGCTTTCCTCCCAAGAACTAACCAAGAGAATCTGACTGGACACTATGTGAATACTCCCTATGTAAGTGCAAATAAAAGACTCCTCTTACCAATCTTTCTGGGTGACGTTTATATTATAAATGTGTCCAGAGATGTTCCTGTATGGCGGGCAGATGCATTTGCAGCGGACATCCTCAAAGTTCTACAAAAAAAAACAAAAACAAAACAACAAAGAATTTATTTAATGCTTTTTAAAACTGTTTTTTTACTTATTCCACCACATGTTTCCCTGTTGAGTAAAACTCAGTCACAAACCAATGGAAAACCAAGACTGAATGAATGAAATTGATCATTGAGCTACAATAAGATACTGTACGAGGAGTGATGAGCAGCATAAAACATAACAATACAAAACACATTTTTAAACTAATAACTAATTTATGAATAAATACAAATATTAGAATCACCAGAAAATTATTAACTTGCCAACCTGCAATTATTATAAATCCCTGGTAAGTCAATCAACACCTATGCAAGTTATTAATACGATAATAACAGATTATAAACTGCAACTGCAGAACATTGTTTAAAAATAGTTGGGCCTACATCTTAAATGTACTTAAAACTAAGCTAATATTGTGAAGAGCATAATCAGACATCTCAGTTTTTAATATACACTTCTGCTACATACTGCAATCTTTGTTTACCTTCGCTTCTGTAAAGTCAGCCGCATCCAACAGAAACACTGTGGCTGCAACCAACATCCAGGATCCTGCTCTATAAGACATTTCTCAACAATAAAGCCTATTCTTGCTGAAAAATTACCATCGATATTCTGCTACAATGATCAACTAAACTGGTTATCGAGCGTAGCAGCTAGTTAGCAAGTTAAAGCACCAATGAAACAAATATTAAATCAGAAGCCGAAGCGGCTCTGAAGCTGTCTGTAGCTATCGGTCCGAAAATTCAAGTTGCAACAGCTGTTAAATTTCTTTTTTAATAACATTCAGGGCTGTATTCCGTTAGGGCCCCGAAGCTGCGGCTAAAGTGACTTTGCCCTTCCTGGTTACGTCACACAAGACGTACCTTGAAAAACAACACCGAAGATTGAGCGATGGTGCCATCTGTTGGTCAAACACGGTAGCTACGATTGGAGGTTCGGATTATCGGCTGAATTAAAATGACGTTAAACAGGTTAGGAGCAAGAATCTATAACCTATGGAGGACATACTCTGCCATATCTAAAAAGAAATAGAGAAATGAATAAATGCTCAATAAATAAATAAGCATTCAATTAATTGCACCCTAAATACAATAATCAATAATTGTACATAGAAATTTAAGTAATAATTACCTTATTTATTTATTGTCCGTTTTAATCTTCAACTTTATTTATTTATTACTTATTTTTTTAAGTATTTATTTATGTGCTTGATATATTTTTGTCTGTTTTATTCTTCCTTTGTATTTTTTTACCCTATTTATTTCTTCAACATTATTTATTTCTGCTTGTCGTTTTTACATTTCTGTATGCATTTCTGTCTCATTATGTAAATGAGGAAGGGTGTGTGTTGAGGGGGCAATTAATTGTACGCTTATTTATTTATTGAGCATTTATTTATTTATGTATTTATTTTTAAATATGGCAAAGTTGGTCCTCTATAATAAGCATAACTGTGGAGTAACATTTTGCTTATAGTGTACCTAAGCAAGCCTTCATTTGCTTCTAGAACACAAAAACATAATAAATCAAAATTAATTCTTGATTTCATAACATTTTGTAAGAAATATAATAGCAACTACAGAAACAATAGTAATTTATCTGGTGGATAAATACAGCAACTATGATTAGAGAAGTTACAAAACAATTAAGAATATGTCTATTGTTTTTTCTTTTTGATTTGTTTTGATTAATATTGTATGTATCAAAAGTCCTAATGGTTCGGGTTATCAGGCAAATGATAATGTAAATCTGACCTTAAACAGGTTAGGAACAAGAACCTTAGTTATTATGCATAACCATGCAGTAAGATGTTAAACATTGTGCATCTGGTGTGCCTAACCAAGCCTTCATTTGGTTCAGGAACACAAAAGCATAACAAAATAAAGTCTTTATTTCGATAACCTTTTGGAAGAAAATAATTAACATAATCAATAGTAATTGATTTTAAACTACCTAAGAGAGTGCTGCATGGCAACACAGTTCATAGCTCTGCTGCTTAAAAGCATAAGGTCCTGGGTTTTTTTCATGTTTTCCCTGTACATATTTGGGTTCTTCCTGGGTGATCCGGCTTCCTTCCACAGTCCAAAAACATGAATGTTTGGTAAATTATCTACATTGTATGTACGTGTGAGTCTGTATGGTCATGGCTGAGTGTCTCTGTGTTGTCCTGCTACAAACTGGTGACCTCTCCAGGTTGTTCCCAGTCTTACGCCAACAGACTGATGGAGATAGGCACCAGCCCCATCATGACCCGGATGGGTAAATGGAATAAGATGAATGGATAAGAGATCATCTTTTGGAAAAAGGAGTGATGTTTTAATTTCTTGAAAAAAATAAATAAATAAATCAACCAATATTTATACCCAATATGAAGGATGACATCTGCTGCTCTGTGAATTTTAACCATTACTGAAAGCTTGTATTAAATGGACAACAGTTATTCATTGAACTGGAATCAATATCAAATTCTAACTCTTGATTACAAATCTACATTTGAAATCAAATGAATACTTTGTTCTTGGTAGAGGCAATAAATGCATCTTCTAGAATTAAATGACGTGCCAGACTTTTCAGGAAATGTTCCTATACCTAACAGTATACATTCTTTTACTTCAATCTTGGCCTTCTTTAGGAATTTAAAATGTAAGCCTCTTTGCCTTGATCTGATCAATACCCCAATTTCCCAGCAATTCTGCATTCACATGTTCCTCCATAGCAAGGCACTCCTACCTTGTACAAGCTGCACCAATCAATAAGTCACAAATTCAGCCTTAACCACTCGAGTGTGTGTCATAAAGATCAGACAAGAGCATCACTATTTCACTAATGAGCTATGATATCAGGGCAAACATTGGATACAATCTAACATTTACCTGCAGGTCTTTTTTCATGACCCTGGATCTAACTAGAGGTAAGAAATCTGAACAAAACTCTGTTGTTGGGAGCTTTCTTTTTTGTTTTAAATAGGTAAAAAGAAGTAATTAAAAAAAAAGCATACAGAAGAATGAAATTAGATGTATTTACATAGCGCCAATTCACAACACATGTCATCTCAAGGCACTTTACAGAGACAATTCAACCAGATCATACAGTTAAATTGATTCAAAGTTTTCTATCTAAGGAAAAGCAGTTGATTGCATCGACTCATTGACTCAAAGGCAATCCCTCACAACAAACATGATTATAGTGACAGTGGAGAGGAAAAACTCCCTTTTAACAGGAAGAAACCTCCAGCAGAACCAGGCTCAATGTGAGCGGTCATCTGCTGAGGCCAACTGGGGTTCAAGGAGACAGAGGCAGACCTACAGAAAGAAGCAGAGATACAAAGGAACTTGTCAACCAGCTCCTCTGGCGGCCCCGTCCAGGAAACACACAGCCAGGCAAACGAGCTCTGAGTCTGCTCCCAGTTTAGAGGACGGAGAGAGCACATCCCCGTTTACAGTCAGGGAAACAGGACTACAGTGAAAAACAGGCTAAGCTCAAAAATCTATTAACAAAGGTGTTGAAGGGAGCAGCACAGCTCATATTTCTTTCCAGGATGGTGTCACAGCCAAACAGGAAAAAGCCAGATGAAGCTACTATGAGAAAAAGACGAGAGAACATAACGCCAGAGATTGAACTAACAAATTCTGCAGTCGGGGAATAGAGATAGAATGAAGCATGATGAAAAGGGGATCCCTATGTCCTTCAGCAATCTAAGCCTAAAGCAGCATGACGATAGAGATAGCACTTGATAACCTGAGTTAAGCTTTATCTAAAAGGAAAGTTTTAAGTCTAACCTTAAAAGTAGTCAGGGTGTCTATTGGATTAAAACTGGTAGTTGGTTCCACAGGAGAGGAGCATGATAACTAAAAGATCTGCCTCCCATTCTACTTTTAGAAATTCTAGGAACCACTAGTAAACCTGCAGATTGAGAGTGAAGTGCTCTGTTAGGGACATAGGGAACAATCATATCTTTGATAAAAGATGGAGCTTGGCCAGTTAAGGCTTTATATGTGAGAAGAAGGATTTTAAATTCTATTCTGGATTTAACAGGAAGCCAATAAAGATAAGCTAGGATAGGAGAGATATGATGAGATTTCAAATTTTTACAATATTCCGCAGATGAAAGGAAATTCTAGAAACCTTTTTGATATGGGATTTAAATTACAGATCCTGATCAAAAATAATACCAAGACGTTTTACTTGGATTACCATCCAAATTAAGTGACTGACTTATCAGCTTTTTTTTTCAAAGACTCTGGTGCAAAGATTAAAACTTCTGTTTTGTCTGCATTCAGGAGCAGGAAGTTAAGAGTTCTCCAGGTTTTTATGTCTTCAAGACATGCCTGTATTCTATGTATATAGCTGAGTAGGAATTAATCCCATGCTAACAATTCAACCAATTGACATGTGTAGTAAAGAGAATTGGTCCTAGCACTGATCCCTGTGGTACTCCACATGTAACCCTGGATCAGGAGGAGGATTTATCATTAATGTAGACAAACCAAAATCAATCAAATAGATATGATTTAACTCAGTCTAGTGTTGTTCCTTTAATTCTTAAAATATATTCAAGTCTTTCTAAAAGAATATTATGATCAACTGTGTCAAAAGCAGCACTGAGATCTTACAGGACAAGTAAGATACAAGTCCATTATCTGAGGCCATGAGGATATCATTAGTAACTTTCACTAGAGCTGTTTCAGTGCTATGATGAGTTTTGCTAACTCTTAAAGTTCAACTGAATCAAAGCACCTCGCTATTCCAGCTGGTCCAAGAGCGGATGTAGCTTTGACCAATCGGAGGCCTCCTGTCTGCGGTCACCTACAATATGGAAGAGGTGCAGCAGATTGTCTGTGGAGGGGAAGGGGATGTCTCTGCATTCACTGCAACATCTACGCAAATGTCCTGGTTTCAAAGTATAAATCAGACTTTAGAGTTACTTAGATACAGAGATATCAAAGGAAAAAAAAAACTTATTTCAGACAGAGATAGCCTGAATAGCAACGCAGCTCAACAGTCAAAACAGGAAGTGAACACGATCTGTCTCACCAGCAGCAGTAACAGCCTCTATTGGCAACAAGAGAATAGATTTAATAAAATGAATGATTGGCGACTCTGTGCCTAGAAACAGCCCTCTATTTTAAGAAAAATTAAATACAACTATTTATGCCTATAAATATCTAAACCAAGGTAAATAAATGTTCCATATCTTTTTCTTCCACTGAATTGGGGAGAGGTGGCCTAGTGGTTAGGACATTGAGCTTGGATCCCAGAGGTTCTGAATTTGAGCCCCACTCCCACAGACTGCCACTCTGGCTGTCTGAGCAAGACTCTTAACCCCACACCGATGGGTTAAATGCAGAGAGTGAATTTAATTGCTTTGTACTTGTGACAATGTAATGACAATAAAGCTGAATTCTTCTATTCTATTACGTTTGGGTGTTGAACAACCAAAAACAAAATCATCATTCATCTTGTTTCAACTCATAAAAAGTTAAATTAAATTTAAGCAATTATTGCTGAATAAACATCCATATTGAATCTCTCTTCATTCCAGGCTTCAGACATGTTCTTGGTCTGGAGAATAAAAACAGAACATTCAGAGGTTAACATAATGCATTAATCCCTTTTAAAGGATAACTAATCATAAATATTATATTAAAAAGCTGTTCTTAAATTTTTAAATGAGTTAAATAAAATCCCTCTTATAGCAATTACAGGATATTTTGCTCAACCTTAAACCATTTGGTTAGCTAACAACGATTGTTACGCTGAGTTTGCCCTCTTTCCATCGTCCTGAAAAAACAGAATAGAGAATATACGTACATTTTCAGTTTAACTTTGCTTAATAATGCA